TTTAGAAAGGCATATGAAAATCTAATTTCCAATACAGAAGTAGCAGCAAAAACCCATATTGTATTTGAGACTACTCCAAATTCCTCAACGTTGGATGCCAAATACCCACATATAAGAGCCATCAGCACAGGGTCTATACTTTTCAGAGAAGACCTGGCATAGAATCTCCTGATATAGATCGTAGCCATGGCAATAACTTGTCTTAATTTAAAATGTTCGCCTCATGCTTGGATGACATTTGGAAAAAATATTTGCAATTTCCCATACTCTTCTTCCGAGAGAAATCAAGTTCTTGTGAGGCCCCTTCACCAGCTCTTGTTTATCCAAAACCCACTGAAAATAGTGGGAGCTCTGCCAAAATTTCCCTGCCATGGAAAACAGCTTGCCCTGATAAAATAGCACCAGCCAGACAAGCAGCCTGCAGGGAGCGACCACAGACCCAGCCCGTCTGGTGTCCATGCTCCTCAGTCAGGTCAGCTCTGCTCTGCTCCACAGTGGTGGCAGCAGAGAGCTAGTTCTCTCTTTTTTTAAAAAAAAGTTTATTTACTATGTCTTCTAAGAAAGAGAGAGAGAGGAGAGAGGCACCTTCAGGAAGGTCTGCATGCCATGATCCACTCCCAGTCCCACCCAGCCTGGATCCACAGGCGTGTGCAGCTGGTATGTATGGGGAGACCTCGGCCTGTGAACCTGAGACCTTCCCATGAGGGTGAAGTAGTATGGAATGTTGCATTACTGCTTTGCTACTGGCCAAACCTGTCTGTCATGTCAGCTCTCATGTTTATTATTTCTCTTTATTCATTTTCTCTATTTCATTTTATTTGTTTTTTTTTTCTTAAAATATATTAGATCATTAATTTTCAGCCTTTTTGATATTTTTATTTAATGCAATAAATTTTCTTTTCACTATACTACTTGAGTTATATCATATTATTGTAAACACAGTTATTTTCATTATTGTTCAGTTCTTTTTTCTTTTTCCTTTTTTTTTGCTAGAGGGTGCAGACACTTTTCAGAGAGAGAGAGAGAGACAGGGAGAGGAAAATGCATCCCCATGGGGATTACACAATCTCTTCTCCATCTCTCCTTCCTGTTGGTATTGATATTTTGGGCATGCACACACAGGTGCCCAACATGTTTCTCAAGCCCCTAGGTCTAGAACTTGAACCGTGCAGTTGACCACGTAGGTTCCAGTTGCCTAAACCGCCAGACCACAGGCTGGCCCTAGGATTTCTTCTTTAGATTATAGGTTATTTATGTTTGTTAGTCTACTCACAAAGGATATTTTTTATTTAGCAATACAAAACAATTTTTGTTAATGGTATTTTATTACATTATAATAGAATCTCTTTTTATGAAATCGAGGGTGTTCATACACACATATGAGAGAGTGCGTGAAAGAGAAAAGGACCTTTGACAGGTTTTTGTCACACTGCAATCCCTTTTCCCCTATCCTCCAGCTCCTCAGGATCTCAGGTGTCCTGTGTCACAGCAGCTATACCAAAATCTCTCTCTCTCTCTCTCTCTGTTTTTAGAGAGGAATTTTTGCTATAGGGCACATGTGCTCACCAGAGAAACAGAGAGAAGCAGAGAGATAGAAAGCAAGAAATCACTCCCCAGGGGGAATGGCCATACTGCAATCCCTTCTCCTCCATCCTCCTCTCAGGATTTTGAGCATGCACATGTGCCCACTGTGAGTTTCAAGCCTCAGATCTGGGACTCAGATTGTGATCAACCACGTGGGAGTCCAGCGATGTAACCGTTACACCATTGCTGGTCTCCCAAATTCTCTTTCAACTTGAACTTTCATGTGACTCTTTGAATGTACTTTTCTTTCTTATAAATGTGTATAGATATTTTCTTCAAATAAAAAATACATAGCTATATATACACACATACATGTGTGCATTTATGTATATGTCATATGTGTATAAATATATGTTATATATATATAAATATTATTTTGGAGTTATAGTATGGTCATTTATCACAAAAAGCTTCAAAGCTATTACCAAACATGGGTATGTTTCACTCTTCAAATTACCACCAAATTAATTTACTCCAGTCAGTGGTATTCAAATTTGTTCAAGTTACAGAGGGTTTTTTTTTTTTGATAAGTACTGTAAATGTTGCCATGTTAAGTTTTATATATAATTTTGTGCTCAGATATGTTATATAAAGTTCTAATTTAGAAAAAATGTGATTGCAGAAGCAAACCATTTCAAAAGTTATGAGAGGGAAATTTTAATAATTGCTTTTTCTACCAGTTAGAAAAATGTCATTCTCAATTTTACTCTGAAATAAAAAATCTTCACTGTTTTAGCTGTAAGGTGAAATCCAAACTCTTTGGCCTAGCATTCAGAGCCTGTATGTCTTTTTATCCTTCTTTTTCTTCTTATTCCCTCTGTGACTTCTGTGTCAGAAAAGCAATGAGTGTTATACTCTGGTCTCAAACTGACTGTCTGTCCTTGTCTTCTACTTATTAAGAGATAATTTTCTTTCCTTTTTATTTTTATTTAGAGAGAGATTTTTGTTATAGGGTGCATGTGCTCGTCAGAGAGACAGAGAAAGAGACAGAGCATGAGAAATCACACCCCCAGGGGGTTGTGGAGGATTGCCACACTGTGATCCCTTCTCCTCCATTCTCTTAGGATCTTGGCTATACACACACGCACACCTGGTGTAAGTTTCAAGCCTCCAGGTCTGGATTTGAACTGTCTTGACTATATGGGAGTCCAGCGATGGAACCATTATGCCATCTGCTGGTCCTGACAATTTTAAAAAATGGATGAAGTCATGATTCTCATGCAGACATAAACATAAATAAACTTGGACATATATTAAAGAATATACTCAATGGTAGATTTTACAGTTGATTCAAGACAGAAACCTAAGGACAGACACATTTATAGATCAGGGGAATTCAGGTGAATGTACAATGGAAGCAGCACTATTCATTTAGAGTTTTTGCCATAGGGTGTGTGTACTTGCTAGAGAGAGACTGGTTGGGGGGAATTGGTAAATCACACCCCAGGGGGTATAGCCACACTGAAATCCCTTCTTCTCCTTTCTCCTTTTGGGATTTGGGGCACACACATGTGCCCAGCATGTTTTTCAGGCCTCCAGACCTGGGACTTGAACCATAGTGTCAGCCATGTGGGATCTAGTGTCTTTTTTTTTTTTTTGAGAGGTCTTTGCTATAGGGCACATGTGCTCGCCAGAAAGAGAGAGACAGAGAGACAGAGAGAAAGTGAGAAATCACCCCCCAGGGGAGATGGCCATGCCACAATTCCTTCTCCATTCTCCTCTTGAGATCTTGGGCCTGCACGCACATACGCCTGGTGTGCGTTTAAGCCGCTGGGTCCAGGACTCGAACCGTGGTCGACTACATGGGAGTCCAGTGACATAGCCATTATGCTAACTGCTGGTCCCAGATCTAGTGTCTTAACCAGCATGCTACTGACTGGCTCAGGGAAACACTGATTTTTTTTCTTTCCACATAAGGTTAGGAAAGCCTGTTGAACCTCTATGCTAGCTGTTATTTACAACTTCCAGCATTGTAAGACTGCTCAAAGGCAATGTAAGGGGGACCAGACAGTGGTGCAGTGATAAAAAAACAAGACCTTCTTCAAGGCTGATCTGCCTAGAAAGTTCAAGTTCATGTCCAAAGACCTCCCTGAGTATGCAGAGCTCACATAAGCCCACAGCCTGGGTCTGGCTGAGGGTGGAGGTGGATCTGTGTCAAGGCCCCATGGGGGGTGCTGTCTCCTTCTCTCTGTCTTGCTCCCTCATGGAAGAAATCAATAAACACACTTGGATCTTGAAAGGCTAGAATCAGGTAACCACAAAATGTGCTGTTGGTACACAGTGCATAGTTTTGCACTAAAGCATAATTTCTTCCTACACATCTGGTCTGCTTTCCCCTTTCTTTCTCCCTATTTAATTCCCAGCTGATCTTCAGTGCCTTCAATGCCCGTGGTAGTGAGTTTTCTCCCTCTGTATTTCATACAGTCCTGATTGTCTCACATTATTTACTTGCCATTTACTTGTACAGAAATGTTTATTATCTTTTCAGTATGTTTTTATCTCTAAACTATGTAAGATAATTTTAGGAGCAGACATTACATGCAATGGTAAGCACTGAATGATTATCTGTTGCTTGATTTGGGAAAAGAAGTTAATACCATCTCCTTCCTCTTTACTGTGACTTGACTTCCTTAAATCTTTACTACTCCCTCCAACAACTTTGCATCCAGCATAATCATATCTTGTTTAGCTTGGAATTACTGAATACTTAATATTGGCTTCTCAGCCAAAAATCAGTACATATAACTAAAAACAAAGCCATTGTAAACCAAACAACAACAAAAGCCTTGGATAATAATCTGCTATGTGATCTATACCTGATATGTAATAACTAGTTTTAATTTCTTTTTTAAAAAGATGTATTTATTTATTTATTTATTTATTTATTTATTTATTTATTTATTTATTTATTTATTTATTTATTTATATTTTACCAGAGAGGAACGGAGTGAGAGAGAGCGAGAGAGATGGAAAGTGAGAAAACAAGCCACCAGGTCCAGGACTCAAACCATGTTTGGTCATGTGGGAGTCTTGTACCCTTAACCACTATGCCACCTGCCGGCCCCAGGTATTTTTAATTTCTATCTATTTCCAACAAGGTATTCATTGCTCATATTCTATCAATTGTGGAAAATAGGGAGGGGCTTTTAGCATGAGAATGAAGGATTTTTTTCCCCTTTCCAAAATATACCTCCTTCATTAAATTTACGGGATCAAGCACGAAACTATAATGCTTATGAAAATAATTATGTTTAACTCCAATTAAGAGTTTATTTTCTTTGCTGGTATTAAGTATATTCCATGTTGAAAAATATTGTATTTTAAATCTTTTGTCAATTTTCACTAAATATTTTTAGTTATCTGTAAATAATGCTTATTTTTTGCAAGCACTAATTAAAAAATCTCAATTTCTTTAGATGCGAGATGTTGACAAACATTACATAAAACCAATTATGAAGTGTGAAAGTAGCACACAGACGGATACACACATATTACCACCAACCATTGTGAGATCATATGAGTGGAATGAATGGGAATTAAGAAGAAAAGCTATAAAATTGGTTCGTAACTATTTTCTAAAATGATAAGTTCAAAGAATTTTAATATGTTTTGTAGGTGAACTTATTTATACAAAATAATGAGTTCTATACTGAGTTCTTTGGTAACAAAAAATAATTAGCATGGTTTATAATTTACACATTTTACATTGCAAGATTGTCTTCTGATTTTAAGCATACACGACAATATAGAAGCATGAAATTTGTCTCAAATTATACCAGGCAGTAATTAGAATACTGTTATTGCTGACTATCAACCTATCTATCTATTAATAGTTTTAAAACTTGGTGCCAGTTAAGACACTCCCAACTTTCTTTAATTATTTAAAGTATACGCTTCTTTTTTTGCGCTTTTTCCTGTTAAATCATGTATATGGTGTCCCCACCACTGAACCCACCCCCCCAACTGCCAACAGGTTCTTTCCAGATATGGGGCTTGCTCATCTTTCTGGTTCTCAGTCTCCGTAATTACAATACTGTAGGTACCTAGCCGTTAGCCAGTTTTTGAAACTCTCATCTATATCTGACTTCATGGAATATCCCCTACTATATAGTTCAGTCATACACTGCATGGTGACGTTTTGGTCCATGTCAGAATACATGTACAATAGTGGACCTATGCGAGTATAATAGGCTGTACCGGACAGCCTAGGTGTGGGGTAGGCGGTACCATTTAGGTTTGTGCCAGTACACTCTATGAGGTTCACAGTGTGGTATCACCTAACCACACATTTTTCAGTGTATCCCCATCATTAAGTGATGCATAGGTATCTCTCTTTTTTTTTTTCTTTACTTTTTTTTTTTTTGCACTCACGGGAAGAGACAGAGAGAGAGAGAGAAAAGGAGAATGAGAAATCACCCCCCACAGAGGAAAAATGAGAAATTGCAATGTTGCAATCCCTTCTCTATTATCCTCTTGGGATTTTGGCATGCACACACATGCGCCTAACATGATTTTCAAGCCACCAGGCCTGGAACTTGAACTGCAAAGCTGGCCTTGGAGGATTTAGCCCCTGTAACCTCCATGTCACTTGCTGGCGCATCTCTTTTCATTTGAAACAACCAATATTTATAGCATTAATGAAATTAAGTATTTTATATATTTTTAATATATTTTATTCCTATCTTTAAGTGAAGTCAGGTATTAAAATAAGTAAAGCCCCTCCCCCCCATGAAGACAAACAGAGGCTATTTACAACTTGCAAAGGAGTCAGCCGCCATCCCTTGGATTTAGTAGACTTAAAACAGTGGTGAGAAAGCACTGTAGTGAGAAAAGAGGAAGGCTTCAAGTGCTTTCTGGCTGGAGGTTATTGACGTGAGAAAAGTGGTAGCAGAGTTTCCAGAAGCAGGATAACTTTATTATTATTATTATTATTTTAGTTTTTGCTATAGGGCACGTGTGCTCACCAAAGGGAGAGGGGGGGGGAGGGAGGGGTGAGAAATCGCCTCCTGAGGAAATGGCCACTCTGCAATCCCTTCTCCTCTATTCTCTAGGAATTTTGGGGATATACACACATTCTCCCAGTGTGCTTTCATTCAAGCCACAGGGTCTGGGACTCAAACCGCTCAATTAGCCATGTGGGATCCGGTTGTCTTAATCATCACACCACCAGCTGGCCCTGGAAGCAGGGCATTTCACATGACCAGTTTGGTGAACATATTTGGCTTCCTCCGATTGGCCCTGAGTTAGGGTAGGAAGGACAAGAAAATGGGAAACCTGACCAAGTCTGACCCTTCTGAGCCAAATTGCTATAGCTACAGAGATTGTTATTTGGCTTTCTTGACTGGTTGGATGCAGAAGTTGTGAGTCAAGAGTTCTATTATCATACATGGTCTAGCCTTTGTCCATTTGTACAGCCTATCCCTCGCAGACTTCCCACTAATCATGATCACATCATTTCCTTTGCCCCCACCACTCCCCCCTTACCCCCACCACCATGACAGTTTTCAGTCACCCGTTTCCTGGGATGTGGAAGGCTCAGCTTCCCCATACATTTTTCTGATCATTGTTCTATTAACATTACTATGAAACATGCCCCCTCCCCTATATTCTTTTCTATTAACTACTAAACTCACTTGAGTTCTCAGATGTTTGTTGGAAGATACATCCCCACCACCTTGTTCTTCAGGCGCTAATACTCTAGCAAGTGGTACTGAGATACTTTGCCAAGATAATCACTTGGCAAGTGGTTATAACAGAAGCAAAATAACAATTCTACTAAATGAATTTGGGTGACATATTAGTTGGTCTTGAGATACAAAGAGGCAGAAAAAAACCCCACAAGAACTCTGGCTGGATAGAATGTGAGTGGTAGAGGTGAACGTACAGTAGATATGGACTGGAAATGTTGAGGGAGTGGAATATTCAGAGAGGCTGAATTTTCTACTGACTGAGTTCTGCCTTCCTGCTCCTCAAGCTCCACTTAATTCTCATTCCCACCTTAGACCTAATTATTCCCTGGAATTGCATCAGTTTGAATGCCAGCTCCCCAAGTGTTACCAAACCAACTTGCTCATAAGACAGAGCTGAGCTCATTGCTTACAGTCGTAGGGAAAACACTGCCTCCACAGAGCTCTGGGAGTATCTCAGGGGGAGAACAGCAAGGTCAATTTATTATGAATTTGAAGTGTGTTAAGGCAGACCTTTCAATGCCTGAGGTGGTTTAGAAGATGAAATGGAGACTTAAAAAGGACTAGGCAAATATCATGAAAATCAATATTGCAAGGTGAAGGGTTTTTTGTTATTATTATTATTATTTTTTCCTCCCCATAGGGAATGTGTGCTTGCTGGAAAGAGAGAGAGAGAGAGACAGAGAGAGGGGGAATTCCTTCTTCTCTTGGGATTCTTTTTGGGCCTGCACACATGCATATGTGCCTCACATGATTTTCAAGCCACTGGGTCTAGGACTCAAACCGTTGTCAGCCATTTGGGAATCTAGTACCTTAATTCACACTACCTACTAGCCTTGCAAGGTGAAGATTTTTAAAATAAGGTTTGCAAAGAAAATTGCATTTAAACTGCATTGATGATACTGCAACATATTGTAGAACATCTTTCAGGATGTTCTGTAATGAGGTTATATGCGTGGGCAAGTGTCTCTTGGGATAGCAACATTATGCAAATAAAGACAATGGAATAGCAATGTCATATTAATGTACACAGTAAGCTGTGTGTGCGTGGTGGGGCAGGGGGTAGTTTTGCTTTTTAATCACCTGCAGTATTTCAAGCTCTGAAGTATTTCCTCTAATTCCAGGTCTCTCCTTCTTTTTATTTTATTTTTTTATTTTTGGAGAGATTTTCACTATAGGGCGCATGCGCTCGCCAGACAGACAGAGAGAGACATAGAGACAGAAAGTGAGAAATCACCCCCCAGGGAAATGGCCACGCCGCAAGCCCTTCTCCCTCATTCTCCTCTCGGGATCTTGGGCACGCACGCACACGCACCTGGCGTGAGTTTTAAGCCACCGGGTCCGGGACGCGAACTGCGATTGACTACGTGGGAGTCCAACGACATAGCCATTATGCTAACTGCTGGTACCCTCTCCTTCTTTACTCACATACTCTAATGCCTTCTGAATTTTTTCTTGGATTTTATCATTACCTCAGCAACCATTATTCTCATTTTTATAAGATCCTCCTTGCTTCCCAGCCTGAGCAATTGTTTCACCTAGTGTTTACTAGTAATTCATAAAAGGAGTAAGCAAAATGTAAAAAAATATATATATGAACTGAACACCATAGATTTCTATATTAAGAATCTAGGATGAAGTCAGTTTGAAAAAGACAATAAAAATTTTAAATTTTTCTATTTTTTTTAACAATAAACAAATATAGTGAGAGAACCTAAGTTGGGCCAGCCCTGTCTTCTAGTGGTTAAAAGAGCCAGATCCCACATGGCGAGCTATGGTTTGAATCCCAGCCCTGGGATAGAAAAATGTGCCCATTGCCTGTGTGCATGCCCCAAATACTGATAGAAAAGAGAAGTGGAGAGGGGACTGTCGTGAGACCACATCCCATTGCAGGGTGCTTTCCACCTTTCTCTTTTCTCAACTCTTGGTCTAAGCATATGTGCCTTCTGGCAATTAAAAAAAAAAAAAAAGAAAAGAGGGACCAGCCAGATGGTATAATGATTACGCCACTGGACTCCCATGTAGTTGACCATGACTTGAGTCTCAGACCCAGCAGCTTAAAATTCACGCTGGATGCATGTGTGCGTGCCCAAGATCCTGGGCAGAGAATGGAGGAGGAGGGATTGTAGTGTGGCCATCCCCTTGGGGGTGATTTCTCATTTTCTGTCTCTCTGTCTCTTCACTGAGTGCACATGCCCAATAGCAAAATTTCTTTAAAAATGAAAAAGAAAAAAAAAAGTTGTATAAATATCCAAGTATAAAAATAAAGGAATTAGAAAAATGTATTAAAAATAATTGAGTTCACTGTTGTTTTGAATCTGTATGTTTTTTTCTTTGATCCATTTATATATGTATATATAACATCTGTATGTTGTTTTCGTTGGTCTATATATGTATATATTTATATATAATTATAGAATACATATGTACAATTATATATTTAGAATATATATGTATAATTACATGTAATTATATATATTATATATATATATATTTACACTCAATTAAGGATGTGTAATTTTCTACTATCTCCTAGATTTTCTAATATTTTAATGCCTTGTAGAAAAATGCTATGTTGGGACCAGCAGGTGGCATGGTGGTTAAGGTGCTGGACACTCCCACACGGCTGACCACGATTTGAGTCCTGGATCTGGTGGCTTGCTTTCTCACTTTCCCTCTCTCTCTCTCTGTGTCTTACACTCAATTAAGGATGTGTAATTTTCTACTATCTCCTAGATTTTCTAATATTTTAATGCCTTGTAGAAAAATGCTATGTTGGGACCAGCAGGTGGCATGGTGGTTAAGGTGCTGGACACTCCCACACGGCTGACCACGATTTGAGTCCTGGATCTGGTGGCTTGCTTTCTCACTTTCCCTCTCTCTCTCTCTGTGTCTGTCTCTCTGGTCAAATTAAAATAAATGGATGAATAAATAAAATTAAATAATTCTTTAAAAAATAAAAAATGCTATGTTTAAGACTAATTTTGTGGACTGAAAAAAGCAAGCAGATTTTAACCTGTTTGTACCTGATAATATTTTACATTATTTGTTCTTTGCAAAAATATTAATTTCCATATTCTCTTTCTACCTAGACCAACTTGCGTCAGAAAATCACTCACTCAGTACAAACGGATCTTAGTCATATGAGAAGAGAAAGCTGTTCACAGGTATACCCTTTAAAGGATGCTAGCACACAGTCCATGAGGGAGAGCAGCACTCGTGTGCCCAGGCCCCAGATTTACCTAGCGGGTCTTCGCGGGGGAAAGAGCAAGATTACTCAGGAGGTTAAGGTGAACTTGACTAGAGCTATTGATGAAACCTAGTTAGAGATCACATGTTAGAGTAGATGTTACCCAATCATGAGCAATGGTAAATACTTAAAGTATTTTCAAACCTATGAAAATTAATTTTTCATTGGTTGTGTGAAAGTGAGTGGATTCTTATTTATGTTCTCCAAATGCTACAAAAAACTAAGCTGTTTTCTATAACACATTCTCCATTCCATTAAAATTGCAAAATAAAACTCTATCCATTCATCTTTTGTTTGTTACAAAAGTTTTCAACATTAAGACTGAAAGATGGGGACCAGCAGGTGGTGTGATGGTTGGGGCACTGAATTCCCACATGGCCGTCCAGTTCGAGTCCCACACCTGGTGGTTTGAAAATCACACCAGGCACATGATGCTTGTGTGCCCAAAGTCCCAGGAGGAGAATGAAGGAGAAGTGATTGCAGCATGGCCATCCCCCCAGGAAGTGATTTCTCACTTTCTCTCTCTTATTCTGTCTCTGTCTGTCTCTCTGGTGAGAGCACATGCCCTATGGTAAAAATCTTTAAAAAAAAAAAAAAGACTAAAAGACTCAAATATGCCATTTAGATGTCAATATGTTGTAAGATTATTATTACTGGAATAGAAGGTTATTTCTAAGTTCATATTTAGTGTTAAGCTTAAAATTTTTGAAGCATATTATTTTTAGTTTTATTAAGTGTTAAATGTTAGTAGATTAAAATGTGTGTGTGTGTGTGTGTGTGTATATATATATATATATATATATATATATATGTTTGCCATAGGGCACATGTGCTCACAGGAGTGAGAGAGAGACAGAGAGGAAAGTGAGAAATCACCTCTCAAAGGGGATGGTTACACCACAATCCCTTCCCCTTCATTTTCCACAGATTTGGGGCATGCACACACAGATGCCCTGAGTGTTTTTCAAGCCACTGAGTCCAGGACTCAACTCATAGTTGGCCAGGTAGGAGTCCAACTTAACCACCATGCCAGATGCTGGTCCCAATGTGCCCATTCTCTTATTTTTGTCTGTACATTGCTCTTGCCAGTCCTCAGCCTCTTCATTCTGATTTTAGGAACTGTTCTTAAACATGAAGGACACTTCCCTTCCACATGTCAGATACTTCTCATTCTCCGCTGTCAGTAATCTGACTCTTGCGGGCTCTGCAGGCCGCACACTTCACTGCTTCATCTAGTCTGGACCCGCAAGCAGTTGGATTTAGAGCTCCTGTGAATTACTGCCAGCTCAGTTTCTGTGTGTGGTTTTATTACTCTCTTAAGTACTCCTACTACTAATTTCATTTGGGAGGCCTGGGGAAATGGGCTGATGGTAGCTAATACTAAACTTTAAAACTTTAGGAATTTGATTTTATCTGTTCGACTAACCTTCATTTGATTTTGCAAGATTCCTAAACACAGAAAAGAATGGCTACAAGCTACAAATAGGTATCAAGTAGAGTTCGAAGTAGAATTGCCAAGTGAACAAAAATACTAAATATTTTTTACGTCTCAGTAAAGGATGACTTTTTAGTATGTTCTAGATTTCGTAATATTCTTTTAAAAATTTTATTTATTTATTCTTATTATTTTTGTCCATTTGACCAGAGAAAGATGAGGGAGGGAGGGAGGGAGGGAGGGAGAGAGAGAGAGAAAGAGAGAAAGCAAGCCACCAGGTTTGGGACTTGAACTGTGATCGACCATGTGGGAGTCCAGAATCTTAACCACTACACCACCTACTGGGCCCAGATTTTGTAATATTCTAATGTCTTGTAGGAAAACATTATATTGTAGGACCACTTTTGTGGACTGAGGAAAAAACTAAGTAGATTTTAAAACTGGAAACTGATAATATTTTGTATTATTTGTTCTTGACAGAAATTTTTTTTAAGTTATTATTTATTTATTTATTTTGATGTTTGTGCCATAGGGTATGTGCACTTGCTGGAGAGAGACAGAAAGATAGTGAGAGGAAAAGGGAGCCCCCCCCCCCCGGGGGGGGGATGGTCATGCTGCAATCCCTTCTCCTCCATTCTTCTCTCAGGATTCTAAACATGTACACACACGCATGTTGCATTTTTCAAGCGGCGAGGTCTGAGACTTGAACTACTGTTGGCCATGTGGTAATCCAGCACCTGAACCACCACACTACCTGCTGGCCCTCTACGGAAATTAAAAACAAAACAAAACAAAACAAAACAACAAAAAAACAATTATTTAATTTAAATTTATTTATTTATTTATTTTATTTGACCAGAGAGAGAGAGAGAGAGAGAGAGAGAGAGAGAGAGAGAGAGAGAGAGAGAGAGAGAGAGAGAGAGAGAGAGAGAAAGAGAGAAAGCAAGCCGCCAGGTCCAGGACTCGAACTGTGGTCAGCCATGTAGGAGTCCAGCGCCCTTAACCACCATGCCACTAATATTTTTATTTATTGGCAATTGTACTTCAAACCCTACTTGACAATTACCGGTTATCAAATAGGGTTTGAAGTAGAATTACCGCGTGAATAAAAATATTGAAACCATCTTGAAAAGTCCAACTTATGGTCAATCACCTGGAATACACCAGATACAATAAAAGGGAGCTAGATCGGATGGCAAACTCATCCTCTCCTAAGACCTCCACTGTCTATCCAGGTCCCATCGCTCTTAAGATTCCCTACCATATGCCAGACCAGGGTCTTACATGGCAATAGCAATAGTGGCTTGAAGCACGGTAAGGTTAGCTTATCAGGCATATGAGCACGGACCTGACGCGTCGAGGATTGCTGGTGCTTGCTCTAATCAGGACTGTAAAGAAAAATAGCCATACAGTTCACTGAGAAAGTAAAAATGAGTTGAAATGAAGACTAAATATCTGCTTGGCCATTAATTGGGCTAGGATAACAAACACATATAAAACCAACTGCAAAGCTAAGAGGAAATATCACTCTGAAGGATATGCTGAAGATGTAAAGTGGATAAATAACCATGTTCTTTTAATGTTTGTTTTCTAATTCACTGACAAAACTTCATTCTCTGAAGTCATGCAAATAAGGAAACTTGCTGCAGGAAATATCTGTAAGAGTGGCACACCCCACTCTTGCCTGAGGATCTGAGTTTACTTTGCCACAGAGAAGCAGTCTCAGTTTCTGCCTCAGGTGGAAAGCCGTCCTGTAAGGACAACATTTCACATCTATAGTCACTTTTAGGGGGGAGAGGGGGCGGTCATTCGACTGTAGCAAATCTTTTATTACAAATAATTAAATCTCTCCATAATGTCTCAAACAGTATCAAACACCATTTCCTATCTCTCACAGAGCAGAGTAGGCATTCCATACTACCCATGAGGAGAAGTGTTACATTTCAAGCTTCTGATCATATCACAAGGTGACCAGGGGAAGCTCAGATGTCATTTTCTTGTGTTTTCTAAGTGTGGGTCTCAAAGGTCTTGCTGTCACCGTGGAGACAAAAGTTTCTATTTTATATTTGTAAGTTCAGGAAGTTGAGAGATTCCAGTGAAAACACATCGATCTTGATTCAACTTCATTTTAAATGAGTTGTTTTCAGGAAAGACAAGGAAAAGATGTGTTGAGTTTAAGCGTCCACACTGTGACAAGGGAAGGGCTGGTAACTACACGGCCTGTTTTAGCTCTGCAGACTCCCTGTCATGGGTATTTTAAAATAAAGTGGCTTTTGTGGATTTTTTTTTTTTGGTATTGTAAACATGTGCTATTTAATATTAACAATATTACCCCAAATTCAATTTCTGCAAACAACAATTTAAAATCTTTAAGGCAAATTAGCCCCAAAGGAAAAAAATGATTTGTTATAAAATTGCGAGGATACCCAAGCGAGACCCCACTTGAGGCTTGTCAGCATGAGCTTGAGAGCTTTTGTTCACTGCTCCTCAGAGTTCCATTGGGTTTTGGTGGAATAGGAGCTGCCACTGCCTCCGGTGTCTTCACTCTTGCCTTTTTCTACATCCATGCTGTAAGGAAGACAAAAACCCGTCTCTCTTTTCTCTTACACAATCCAGGAAAGCCACCATTGCATGGTCAAACTTGTCCCAGAAAAACCACACCATCTAGAGTAACTTTCTAATTTCCAGGAAGTCCGGATCTGAGGTTGACTTCTTTCTACCCAGTCCTGCATTGAGCCTACCAAACACTGGTTCCTTTACATTTCACCGAAGCCCATCCTTCCCTAAAATTCTACCCTTCTGTCTTTTCCTTTGTTTCCGAGACAGCCCATGGTTCTTCTGCTGTTCAGTTTCCTTCATTGGGATGGGTCGACGAACTTGCTATAGTTGGACAGGTTTGCCCCCGGCGGTCCTGGCTGATTAGGGTAGGACAGTGGCATCAAAACCTAGTCAAGGCTCATGTCGATGGAGTTGAAAGTCTTTTTGAGCAATGGAAATGCATAAGAAAAAAGTTGGATTCAGCGGCACCACAACATCATGTCACCTAAAATGCCACAAAAATGGTCCCAAAACATTTTACCCACTGCGCTGTGTGTGTGTGTGTGTGTGTAGTGTTTAATGTTATTCTCTAACCAGGAGGATACGGTTCCTTAAAGTGTAGTTGGTTTCACAGCCTAAGCAGGGAAAAATCAAGACTTGACTGAGAACTCTTGTTGCCAAGAGTTGTTTGTGTATTTATTTATTTATTTAATGTTTCAAAAAGTTGGTGCAGAGTTAAAAAGGGGGCAGGCTTACAAGGGATATATTGGGACAATATGAGCATTAAAATGAGAATCACAGATAATTAAAGAGAGTGGGACCAGCAGATGGCCTAATGGTTGTGTCACTGGACTCTCACAAGGTGGGAGAGTTCAAACCACTGACTATGGTGATTTTGTGGATTTTTTTCTTTTTTGGTATTATAAACATGTGGTACTCAAACCAATTGTGATTTGAATCCTGAACCCAGCTACTCGAAATTTATGCCAGGTGCATGTGCGTGTGTGCCCAAAATCCTGAGAGGAAAATAGAGGAGAAGAGATTGCAGCATGGCCACCCCACTGGGGAGTGAGTTCTTGCTTTCTGTCTCTATCTCTTCAGTGAGTGTACATGCCTTACAGAAAAAAAAAAAGAAAAGAAAAAGAAAAATAT